CATAACACCTTCTACGCTGAGCTATTAGAAACTTTTTCTTTTTTTTTTTTTTTTTTATTCAAAATATCTCTTACGGAAGATTATCATCTTCATGCGTATATAGCATTAACACAAGAGAAGAGAGGGTGGGAGGAAGGGCATCATTTTCAATATGCTCTCTTGCAAGCGCGTGCGTGTAATCCAAAACGGAAACAGCATCAAGGCACACACTAGGGCGAGCAAGTGCTGTAAGGGGAATATATCATGAGTCGAGGTCTGGGACGGTGTCGGCCCACGTTTAAACTGACGTGCAATTGGTACGTGCGACGTAGGCATACAGCGTACATTTGCGTATTTAAAAGGTGTTTTTTTTTTTTGTTTTTTTTTTTCGTAAAAAACGAATCGAAAAAGGTCCGCGCGTACCTATATGGCAACATGCACTGCGCACAAAGTCTTTTCCAATAAGCGAGAAAGAGCAGGGGATCAACCACAGCATGCATATTATACATATACGGTATTTCTCTCTCTTTCTCACTTGGGCGGACAAGCCTGGCCTGGTCTGCAGGACAGGCAGACAGCATTACCCCCCGGGGGGGTTAAAAACGCCCCATAAATCACATTACGATGAGAAATGCCCTGTGCCACCCGCACCTCTCTCTCTCTCTCTCTCTCTCTTTCATTCCCTCGTTCCATCTCTCTCCTACTCTCTCTCTCTCTCTCTCTCTCATAGCCAGACTGGCTAGCTATCTCTTTACAGAACTGTGTGTGCTGAGCGTGCTGTGGCGCAATGCTGTGGTGTGCTCGTCCCTTTCATAGTCCACGTATATGTGGGTGCGTATGTGTGTACTTACTGGTGTACGTGACGAGTGTGTTTGTGGCGTTTCATTGTTATGTTATATGCTATGTGCACGCGGCTAACAGAGAGACTGCATGCATGATGGCCCCTACAGTCCCTCTGCTCTGGTGCTCGCTCTGGTGGCATTGGTTGGTGTGCCTTTTGCTGTGTTATAATACCTTGCCATTACAGAGTGCTCTCCGTCGTGGTCGTTTCCTTCCTTTTCTTTTGTCCGTCTCGTCTATCACTCCATTCTGTCGCACTTTCTCCCTTTATCTCTTTCCCTCTTTGCCATCTCGACCCGCACAAGGTGCTCTCATTCGTATGTAATATACCTTCGTGTATTTTCCTCTCGCGTTCTTATTTCTCGCTTGTTAGCGCAAAGTTAACTGAATAGTGTTTTGTCACGTGTATTTTGGCACTTTATCACTCTTTGGATTTATTTGGGTACGACAAAAATACGGCAATTGGCACCGATTTTCCGTACTGTTTCAGAAAGTTATGGTATTTTGGCGATTGTTATTTTTAAGGCACTACAATAATGTATGGATGTCTAAAAAATTGATAAATTATCCAAGGGTAACACTTTTTAAAAGCAATTTTTGTCACACGTCATTTAATTTGACATAACATTCGATGCGCATCTTAATAACATTTTACGTTGAACACGACAAACAATCAAGCAGCACTTATTTTTAGCCATAACTTCTCTAAATAAGGACCTTATTAAATCTATATTTTCAAACCATTTGCAAATCTTAGAAAATAAGATAAACAGATTAATTTTAGTGCTGTATTATTTTTCGAACACTTTGCTGAGTCATGAAACCACAAAGCCAAGTGATTCTGATGCCAAATTAACTAATGCATCCACCAAGTTGTTATCGACAAAAGACCGTAAGGCGCTTAAAATCCTTACAGTCTCTAGCGTCGAAACAACAATAGGCAAAGAAAAAGGTAGACAAAAATCAATCGTCACGCTTTTTTCTTCCCTATACGAGTAAATGAAAACCCAAACACTCCCGCCTACTGTTTTCGACTGTAGAAAAAAAAGAGCAGCAAAGCCACAAGCGTCTGCAAGATGCTGTTCTTGCGTCAGCCAGCATCTTGTCTTATTAAGCTCAATGGCAATTTCCCATCTGTTAAACGAACAGGATCTCACGGACACGGACGTCATTTTTTGAGCCGGTGCTGTATATAACATGCAAGCTGACATCTCTGCTACCGAATATTTGCTGACTTGCTCTTATTGCGAAGAGGAGAAAACGAAATACAAAAAGGAGGCGAGAGGAGGTCAGGGAAGAAAAAAAAAACGGAGGTGGCCATCGCCGTCGTCGTGCCATAAATCCGACCACCAAATACCCCACTCGATGGCCCCGACGCGCACAGCGGGCGGCTGCTGCCGCTGCGTTTAGGAGCAGCGGTGTTATAGCCTTGTGGAAAAATATTTTCACTGGCCGAACAGCAATGAGGCTTCCTCCGCACATACACCTCTTCCCTCCTTTCCTTTTTCCCCATCTTTTTTTTGTTTTTCAATTTTTTTTTTTTTTCATTTTTTACCCGTGCAACGGAAGCTCCGGGATTTTTCTTGCGCTGGGTCTGGCTTTTTTTTTAGGCGTCAGAAACTTTTTCTCCGGAAAATGAGAATGTAGATTTTTTTTATTCGTAACGGACCTGGAAAAAATATGTAAATTATTAAAAAAAAAAAAGAATAAGGTGTAGCGATAGTAAAAGTATGGTAATTTTCGCTAATAGCTTTTTTAGAAAAGAGGAATTTAATTTGACACGCGGAAAATATTTTTTGCCGAGACGAAAAAACAAAAAAAAAGGATCTCATATTTTCAGAGTAAAAGCAGGAAGTATACAAAATTTAATTTAAAATAACGCGGATGTAAAGTAAATTTCAATGAAACTTTACTCATGGATATTATCGAGGACTTTCTATGAGGATTGTGCAAGAGATCCCGACTCGATACTCGAAATGGCGTACAAACAGATGGTAATACTGATCGAGGAGACATAAAATAATACTCAATAACGCCGTGACTGACGAGGACGAAGAGCCGACTCTGAAACAACATTTGAACAGAGAATTATTTTCATACGCTCAAACGCGAGGTTCTTAGCCTTGAGAAATTATGTCACCTTACGAAAACACACGACTACCCTTAAAATCACTCATTCGTACATCAAAATGACTTTCGTATACTGTAACTGGGAACACACACGAAGGCTGTCCTCTTGACTTTTGATCACAATCCAAGTAGGCACGCATCCACTTGTCGGTGAAGAAAGGAAGAAGAAAACGCAGTACATATATAGCACGTGAGCATCGCGGGTGAAAATATTTTTCTAGATCTCCACAACGACAGACGGGCGAGTGTAGAGGAAAGGGAGAAGAGGAGGAGGAACAGACTTTTTTGTGGAAAAATATTCGCCGTGATCATTCCATTGCTGGAAGCCACTAGCTCGGAGGGTGGGTGCGACACTTTACCCTTCGAGCAAACAAAAACAAGCTGCACACACGTGCGCGCCGAAGAAAAACACTTTTAGCCAGAGGGTGTATGTAGACATAGAGAGTCCCTTGGCAGTGGCTGCAGCATTGGAAGCACGTTTAGCATGCGGGAGCCGGAAGGCAAGCGGTTTTTCATTTCATTTCAATTCACACCCTGCGCCCCGCGACCTTTCCTCTTTTGGATTCTTCTCGTACACTAGTACTCCCCGGGGCAGGGATTTAATTTTTTTTTTCTCTGTACCACGCAGGGAAAATACCTTTGGAAATTGAAATTTCACCGGGCGGTACGAGCGTTTTATGCTGATCGTGTTGGGATCAACCAAGAGACACACGGAGAAAAGGAGAAGGGAGTAAAAAGTAGTTTCTCGCTACTCTCATTTTTGTCGCCCTTAAATTTAATTTATACCCATTTGCATATAGCTCCCAAGCTGATGCTTGTAAGTTTACCTTCTGTGCGTAACACAAAATCACAGAAATCATACTGATTTTTAGGGGATTTTAAAAGAAAAATCTTAGGATTAGCTATGAATTTTTACACAACTATCCACTGAAAACTTTTCAGGTATTTACAGTTTAAGTATAACTCGACCTCATTTTGGAGCAAAGTTGACGTGACTAACGAACCTTCATAGAGTTTTCTCAAATTTTCATAATACTGAATTACAGAATACTTCAATTCGTTTCTTACTCATTTCCTGAGAAATACACTTCACTAATATATATATACTAACGCACAACAAATTTTCACGAAGTGATATCTGAGGTGATTATCAGACCACTATTACTTATGACTAATACTAATTTGAGTTCTCTGATAAAAACTGACAGAACGCGATTGCCAGTACACACAGTTTAGAAGTAGCAGCGACGCTGTCCAGCTGACGTCAACGAATCGTTTTTAGTGTGATGCGAATACGCATCTACAGCGGTAAAGGTTAGTGATCAAGTGGGGACTTATTTTTTTTAGTACAAGTTCGCATATAAGTGTCTCATCACCGAGTAAACTCGATAAAATACAAAAACGCTACTCTTTATGTAAGTATACTCTGTACAATGATAAATGATACGTGTGTGAGTTGCTTAGTTGATACGTTACACCAGCTCACGTCTATTGAAACTCTGGCCTTTTCGTTTTGAGTTAACAGTAAACTTTGGTAGGCCTTTGGTACGTACCTTTGCTTTAATAACTTAAAACTTTCAAATACTATACAGTTGATCCCTACATCATTCAAAGTGCAAATTTTGTATTAACTAATTTAAAATTAATTGTTGTTATGAGATAAAAGTCATACTAACAGTGAATACACTACATGCAACTAGTGATTTTTTAATATGCAGTGACACATTCAAAAATAATAAATACAACACTCAGTACTTGTTGATACAAAGGAAATAAATTGTTGTAATAGCATAAAAAATTTTTCATGATAGACAGTGTGCAGCCTAAAACGTAAGGAGCATTATTTTCAATAGATTGTCGCATTTAATGTACGATAGATCGTTAAAGGTACCTACTATGTAACTTCTTAAAGCCATAATTGATTTTTCGGCCCTACGTCTTAATCACGGAAAAATTGTTTTTTAATATAGTAAAAATATTCACACACGCCTACTATTTGCATCAATTACATAAGTTGACCTCCACTGTTACAGCATAAAAAGGTCTGAGGAATGGGGATGTCACCTCACTACTGCAACAAAAGCAATGTGTGTGCAACCCCTTGCTATTACTGGGTTCTTACTTTGTTCACGCTCATAAGTGTGGTAATTTCTTACAACCTGGATACTACAAAAGCTAAAATATTCCTGGATCCCAGTACAAATTCGTCGTCACCGAAATCCTCCAGCTATTTTGGTTTCACGGTTGGGCTGCCTAATCATCCAAAAGATCCTATACTACTGGTGGGAGCACCCAGAACTAACGACCAGGACGACAAGCTTGGAGGGGTCTATAAATGTTATGTCTCGAACGGAAGTTGCATCACGTGGGCCCTGGTCCATGATGAAGACAACAGTGTTCATCTATCACATATTTTTGAATTAAGGAACAAGTCTTGGCTGGGGGCCACGGTGGTGGTGGAGAATTCAACGAATCCCAAAATCGCGGTACGAAGAGTTCTCCAATTACTTAGATACTGTAACTTACGTGGCTCTGTAAGAAATGTTTGAATCTACTAACGTGGGTGCAAGTAAATTGATGCACCTATTGATGTGCGGAAATTGCATGTCAAGTTTTTTAAATACTACGTAATTTTTTTCTCGTCACAGACGACGATTTTACTTTCTTATCTCTACAATATTCTGTTGATAACCAAAACTAAGAATTTTATTATGTTGTACAGTAGCTCTACACAGTTATTTTATATTTTTACATAGAGGTAGACCAAATTGATGCATATACATTGAAAAATTCGTTAAGTAGTTTTGTAAACCTTATCTTTGTTTAGCACTTAATATTAACTGAAAATACGCGTTTGTATATATGTGTTATATGCGCTCGTAGTTTGTTATATTGAATAATTAAATGAATTTGGAAGCAACATATTTAGATGTAGCTGCAATAAATGATACTTTTTTTTCGTGTGATAATTTTCTTCGAGCAATCGTAAATTAGTTGTTTGAGGTTAAACGGGCCCTTGTACTACACGAATACCCTAGTAAAACACGGGCTTAAATTAAACTCTGCAAATTAGAAAGTAATTTTGGTGCTTTGTAAACATTTTTTTGCATCATATCGTGGTCAATTTTGGAAAAAAAATTTTCTGCAAAAAAAAAGTTTTTTTTTTTATTACGTGATGATGTCTTAGTGAATCTAATTATGATAACTGAGCAATGATTGATTNAGCCCCCACACACGATCGATGAAAGATTTACGGTCCGTGCAACTACACACGGGTATCATATTGGTATCATCATCGCGAGAGAACGCCTATTTATACGGAAAGTGAAAGCAGTATAGTGCCTACCTGCAGTACGATAAATATAATAACACAGCTGTATAATGCGTTTTTACAGCGGACGCATATAAGTAATGGTAACGAAGGGAGAGAAAGTGACTGTACGCGGGGCTAATGATGTTTTTAAAATTATTATTATTTTTATAAGGAAATCGATAAATTATATAATCTTATGATGAAAAATTAATAAACGCCATAAAAGGATTCAAACTATATCCAAAATATGTTGCTACCATCCGTGGTATTATTTTGTTAATTATTAATTACAAAAATAATTACTATCCATGAATTTTAATGGTTTGACATAAATTTATTTTTAAATATGTATACTTAAATATGTCCATACAGGTTTGCGCACCACTATTTAAGGCATATTACCCACAATTTTCGAAATTGTCGTACAGAGTAAACGGCATGTGCTTTTCCATGAACGCAAACCGTTTGGATACTGAAAGCAAAAATATCAGACACTTCCCATACTTTGATAAAAAACAATTCTTACGAATAAAAAACATAACTGTGAACTATCACGCCTTTGGTGAGGCTGGATTCTCGGCTCACATTGCACCTGACACTCATCACTTAGTAATTGGGGCTCCAGGTATATTTAACTTCACGGGTTCAGTGATGGTACTCGACCGTACCCTTGATAGCGTCTCGATCAAGTCGTATAATTATCCTAATATTAAGGATGATACACATTTTCAGTCAAACAGCTATCTTGGTAAGTTATTTACATGTATTTACATAGGTATAAAATAGGCGTATCTGTTAAAGTTATTATTTTTGAAAATGTATGGGTAAGTTTGGTTTAGTAGTCAGTGACTAGTCAGGCGAGTGCCAGTTAGGGTTAACTATGTACGCGTGTTGAAGACAAAGGTTTTGAACGTTTGGTGTCTTTAGTGTACAGACCATAAGCTGCTAAATCAAACATACCTACTGAAAACAATGAATAGTATCTCAAGGTGACGCGTTGAATAATTAATTCCGATGGATCTATCCACAGTTTATGTATTATTGCGTCATACTCTTTATCACTACTTTTACTTTTTTATCACCAGGTTATTCAATTACTTCTGGGAATTTTAACAAACAAGGTGAGCGTCTCTACGCCTCTGGGGCTCCTCGAAGCGACAATTTAAGGGGAAAAGTAATAATTTTCAAGTTTCCAATGGGCAAGGATCAGCTACTAATAATCAACAAAACATTTGTGGGTGAACAAATCGGTGAATACTTCGGCTCAAGTTTGACGGCCTGCGATGTTAACGGCGATGGCAGGGACGATTTGATAGTCGGGGCTCCTCTATGGTCCAGTGAAGCTGAAGAAGGACGCGTGTATGCTTACGTCTCCGAGGGCCAGGTAAGCACAATTGATTCGAAACGCATATATATTGCTGTTATTGTTGTTTTACTGAATTTTAAAGATAGCAATATACATATAGTTACTGGTTAACGTTTAGAAGTAAAAAAATTGCAGTTGGACTGGAAAACCTATCGCATCGAAGGTCAATCGCTATTTGGACGCTTTGGCACCTCGGTTGCATGTCTGGGCGACCTCGACGGCGATGGATTCCACGATTTGGCGGTAGGAGCGCCCTACGAAGATAATCGTCGAGGAGCCGTCTACATTTACAACGGCGGTGATGATCGCGACCTATTCCGTGGACACAGCCAGCGTATAACCACCTCGAGCGTGTCCTTGTCGACACCGTTGCAAGGTTTTGGACAATCTATCAGTGAGCCGGCTCGCGACGTTAACGGTGACGGCAGCCCTGATCTAGCCGTGGGTGCTTACATGTCCAGCCACGCGGTCCTCCTTTTCGGCAAGCCTGTCGTCAAAGTAACCGCTGAGCTCGAGCGATTCGACAACACGAGCTCTCCCTGGAATTCGACGCATTTTGCCTTCAAAGCTTGCGCCAAATACAACGGAGCGCACGCCCCGGCTAACCTTAGTGAGTATTTTAAATTAAATTATGACAGGCTGAGAAATTTGCGTCACGAGTCTTTGATGTTGCCCAAGAAAGTAGTAGCCAACTTTGATTTTTAACTCTTCCTTGCAAAGTCTCGATGCATCCTTAATAGGTATTGATGTTTACATCATTTTGCAATTTTATAAAGAAATTTATAAATTTAATGTCTGAGATAGAACATAATAATTCTCATGAAAAAAAATAAATTTTAAAATACAAAATTGTTTCAATAAAATTTGCCAGGACATTGCAATGTTGAATACTACTTTAGGTTAAAAAACTGAATGAAATAAAAGCTTTTACACTATTAGATGGCATAAGTGTCCTGATTCACACAAGAATAAAAAGATTTGTTTCTTATACTCATCTACAACTTTCAAAAAAAAAACTCCTTAAACGGTTAAATCAATATTCATCTCTCGATGTTTTTGGTAAATAGTTAGCCAAGTGTGTAACTAATTATTGCGTATTCTGTGTTATTGAAAACATTCAAGCTTTAACTTTGAGTAAATATATTGTACACTAATTATGATGACTTGGTATGAATCCGTGAACAAACTTTTGTACTAAGTATAGTCATGGTCAATGTATTTGACAGTGTGTGTTTAAACTGTTAGCCTTTGATGTAGAAACTAATGTTTTCTCTTGTAGATGCAAGTATTGTTGTAACTTTATATGAAAGTACTGATTACCCTGGAGAACGCAATTTGGGTATATACGAAAGAAAGTTTCTAACCTTACAACACGATGAACGCCATTGTGAAGTTTTTTTCATGCCATGGAATGTAAGTCTAAACTCTCATATGTTAATGCATCTTTTCATTCTAAGAGTGTAATACTCTAATTTGAAAAAATTATACATTAGGGTACAGAAAAAAGCTTGGTATATCCAATAGTTATCCATATGAATTTGATATGTGGACACAAGGATCTGACCGACTCCAACTGTCCTATGATACATAAAAAATCAAAAATTTCCGACAGTATGTTAGGATACTTTCGTAACTGCGGCCTTGACTACATATGTACTGCGGATTTGCAAGTAAACATAACAAGTGGTAATTTGGGTCCCAACAATGGCAGTACAATCATCTTCGAGTCAAACGTAGAAGCGACGATTGTTGTTGAAAATAAAAAAGAGCCCGCGTATCTCGCACGAGCGCACATTTACATTCCAGCACCAATCGTTATAGATAAAATGCCTTCATCCTGCAAAAAATCATTGATAGGCAAGGAGATGCTGGAAATTATTTGCAATCTTGGAAATCCCCTGCATTATAGCGTAAGTGTAGGCAATGAAAAATAATTTTTTTTTTTAAATCTTGCAGTGATAACTAGCGAGAAATGTAACATCAGTTCCTTCTCGTCAAACATAGTCTTTTTTTTAACAAAGTTTCGTACATCTTTTCTCAATGTTTTTATGTAACTTTACTTTATAGAATACCATACCCATTGGACTTGACATGAGCGCAGTACAGGATACTGAAAAATCCAAAGAAATTGAAGTTAAAGTAACTAGTTTAGGAAGTAAAGATTATAAAAAATCATTATTAATTAACTTCGCCGAAGCAGATCTTAATTTTATCAGGTACGTAAAACAAATAGAATTTCGATGAACAATTTTTTTTTATTTCATTGAAAACAAAATTTTCAGAAGATCACAAAAAGAACAGTATTCATATATGGAGAGTGAAGTGATCGAAACAGATGGGAAACGTTTTATTTTTAATCACATTTACGAACTGTACAAAATCGGAATTTTTCAAATCCAAAAAGCCATTCTTTTTGCCTATGTTCCCATGTATTTCCGAGACCAAAAGATATCAAGTACAAAGATTCGTGGCACCATTGACGGAAGTGAATGTAATTGTAGACTGGAGAAGGCATCAGTAAACATGTATAATTTTACTGACGAAAAGAGTGAGTTGGATCTACCTCCTTTGCCACAAGAGACAATGTTTTCCATAAATTGCATGAATCCTCATGTAAAGTGCCATATACTACGTTGTGACATTGGTCCTTTCCTTCAAACGACATCTACAGCAAAAATAATTGTAACTGTAGACTTACAAATCTCGAATGCCATAGGTTTGCTTTTCTATTCAACTATACATATAATTGTTAATATTTTAATGTACTTTGTTAGATTGAATTTAACACTAAATCCATGTTTCTTTAGTTAAAGAAGCCAAAGGAAAAAACATTACATTCATAAGTCAAGGGCATATCGAACTTGTTATTCCCAAGATGAGCACCGAAGCAAATAACAAATCAAAGCATTCAATGCATGTCTCTACTGTGTTTTACCGTCGTGCTGATGATAGTGTCGTACCCATAGGCCTGATTATTTTATCAGTATCAATTGGATTCGTTATTTTGCTTATTATAAGCTTAGTATTGTTCAAGCTAGGATATTTTAAAAGAAAGTCGAAGGAACCATAACAATCCTCAGAGGCGACTGGTGAAGTATGTATTTACATATACCCGTAAGCTTAATAATTAATTACTTTATATAAAAAAGTGAGAGAAAATGAGAATAACAATTTTTTGTTTTGTTTCTTTATCTGCAGGAAAAGTCAGACAATACTACGGAGTGAATCAGATAGTTCGAATGTACTGCTTCGAGGAAGTACAAATATTTGATCTATAGACATACGCTGTCTAGAAACGCCATGTATATAAATGAATGGTGAGAGTCGGAAAATGTTAATCGTTGAAACATTTATCTATACATGATAAATGTTCAAAAATATATCACCGTTAAATTTTTCCGATGATATACGAAGTCTGATTAAAAAATAAAATTTCGTGATCAATCAAATGTACACGGATATTTTGTAAGGAAGCATCTCATCAACCTCGTAACTGGTTATGAGTTCTTAAAAATAATATATAGACGTTTAAGTAGTAAAAAATCAAATAAACTATAAGATCTAAGAATGAATAATTGAATAAATATATAAATAAGAGTTAAAATAATGATTCGAAGTAAAAAATAAATTTCATAGAAGCTTTAAATGTCAATTTGTTCAATTCATAAATTTCAAAAATTTCATAGATCACGCATCATAGATAGCAGCCACGCGCGCACGCGCAGGGGCTTTGAATCAACACCCCACGTACCCTGCGACATCCATGCAATAAGCTTCTTCCCTCGACTCTCTCTTTTTCACACACTCACAAGCACACATACACCCCTCAATACATAGGTCATAAACTCGCGTACAGATCGACATAGAGGAGGGTGCGAGCCAATTAAAAAAACAACCTCCTCTTTGACGTCCCATCTCTTCTCGCTCCTATCTCGAGAGCACCACCCGCAACATCAGCCACACGTATGCGCTCCTCTCTCTCCTTCTTCAAAGAGCAGCGACACTTTTAAAGCGAACCTTTCCCACCCTCCCGATCAAACGTTACAGGCACACGAGCTCGTCAAACTCGCACGGCTCTCGGGACGCGCATCAGTGGCCGGAAAGCGAGTGGTTTTTCAATTCCGCCAACACCCTATATTTTACTCCCCTCCCCTTCCCTATGCGTGGGTGTATTTACATTCAGCAGGGGTGTGCGGGTGCGTACGCGTTTGCGTCGGGAATTTCCATCTTTGTCGCTCGGTGACAACCAACAACAACATCAACAGCAACAACAACAACAATGGCAGTGGGGAGAGGCGATACCATCTGTTGGAATCGATTTTGCATTAGCGCAAAAACTTCCGGCGCAACCCCTGGCTCGGTGTTGTTGACGCCCGGTTTATCGTACATCGCGCTTCCCATCTTGGACGAGCGCGTACCCACTGGTGTGTACATATATTTCAGACATATGCCCACACACGCGTTTCAATATATATGTACGTGTTACGTTATAGGGTTGATTCATATATATACACACCCGGACGAATTAACCATTATTGTATCGGCGAGTAAATATATATGTACGCGTGGGTGGAGGTGCACGGTATTTACACGCGAGAGCTCTGTTTACCCATGGGCATGCTTGTATCTTGCAAGCGCGTTCGAAGCGTAAATTTATACATCAATAATACACGCGCTTGTACGTATGTACTTTTTAATTTGTATCAAGTGGGTGGGCATACACTCACTTGTGATCGAAAACATTATTGGACGTTGCGCGTCGGGGGCTGTCGTGAAAATTTTCATACGCGTTGTGCTTGCCGCACTTACAAGTGTGAACGCGCGCGCTTTGAAGTTTCAAGTGGGTGTCGCAGGATGTACGGTAAGTTCGGGCGTGAGATTTATACGCGTGTTTTACAGCGTGTCGCCCTCCTCTCTATTTCCCGCGTGTGGATTCCGGGGTGTCGTCGATCGACTCTTGAAACACCCTTTTTTCCATACCTATTACCATGTTAACACGAGGGACAAGTTCGGTATGGTGGGCATTAGGAATATTTGCGGAATCAGTTGTGAATGTTTGTTTGGCTTACCTTATTCGACGGGAGAGGCAACGTTGTTCCGTGCGATACGAGGAAATGGTCCTTTATTAATTTTGGACTCGACGTCGATGACGGAACAATACGGGGACCGCTCACCTGCAACAGAAAAAAATTAAATGGTTAATCGAAGAACGTGTAAAAAAATGTCGAACGTATTTTATTAACGCAAGCAACAAAAAATAATGTAATTACAAAACTTAATTGTGTATAAGGAGGGTAAAAAAAAAATATGTCGGCCAAATAATTATCCTAAGGCGGGGACCACCTAAAATGAAAAAGTACAATCAGGCTTAACGGTACCCATTCAACGTGCAGCGAGGCAATGCCCATCGGTCTTGGCAAATAAAACTCTCGCTTTCTTCCTTCCGACTATCAAAATAAATTTTTGGCACCGAACATCACCCCTCTTCTCTGTATTTCAATTCGCTTATTCATTTTTTTTTTTTTTTTTACTTCCATGCAACAGAAGTATTTATAAAAAGTATGCAAGGATAGTATGGTAGCTGGTTATCTCTGGGCATAAATCTGTGGAGAAAGAAGAAAAAAAAAAAAAAAAAAACATCGAAGGGGGAGTCCTCGGAGCGTAATTACATTTCTTCTGGGCTATTGTCTATAACAATCTAAGATACTATACACAAAGCCATTATAATACCTTTTTTCCTTCTTTTGATATTTTCCAAAAAAAAAGAGGTGTCCTCAACACATTTTAAACAAGTTTGGAAAAACGCACCAAGTACTGTTTTTTTTCGGAGCTTACGTACATGTGAAATTAATCGTACTTTACGAGCTGGGACATTATTCTCGGCTAAACGATTAATGTTGGCCCAGTCCGGCTTTGGGTACTTTTTGTCTTTTTTGGCGCAGTGCGACGAATGTTTCTTCTGAATTACCGTGCGCATTTTCACCTTCCCGTGGGTAATTTATAAATTAACTCGAGAGGCCAAGCAAGACGCTGATCGCTCGGTCGGCTGTGACAACGAGTGTATATCGACGCCAAGGATTTGATCCATCAAAAAAAAAAAAAAAAAAAAAAAAAGAGCAAAATAACGAGTCTTTTGATCGACATTTATTATCATTGCGTATACATGAAAGAGGAAGAATCGGAGTGCGGAAAACAATCAATCTCCATATCGCAGTGCGATTTTCCAGGTGAACAAGCAATGATGGACCATATCGAGCGCGATTTGTTGATCAAACGAGTCGTCGAGCGAAAGCTAAACTCAGCTGAGCGTAAGTATAAATCTCGATGCTCGCAATGCAAAACGATTGGAAATCGTGGATATATGAAAACACGCTCGTCATATCAATTAACTATATTTGCTATTCTACTGGTTCTTTTGATTCATTTTTTTTTTTTTTTTTTGCTCATACACTTATGAAGCTAGTATCGAGTATTACAATAATTATCGGCTGCATTAGAGGACAATGACGCCCTTGCAGCGCGACAATGAAGGGAATTTGCATTAATATGGCGGGGCATTAGGTTGGATCGGAGCTCGGCTTTGATTTTTGTCGTGGCCCATGTAGAGCCACAATGAGCGAATTCCAATGAAATTGCAAGTTCCCACGTGTCGTTTGTTGCTGCTCGGTGATATCCGATCCGAATGTTGCGATAGCGAAAGCGCAAGAGAGGAGGATAACAATTGCCGGTGTTATAGGTACTAGGGTTTGCATAATCGTTCGAGAATCAGGAAAGGAGAATTTTTTTCGAGCAAAACTGGAGCCTAGAATAGTCACTTTTCGATACAAAGTTAACCCACGATTGAAGTTAGTTGTGAAAGAAACATCCCTATTATAATACAGTTTTTAGTAACAGAGACAAAAGCCAGAAAAACAGTATTATTTACTAGTAACAAGTCTGACTTTGCCTGGTGAAATTGTTATTTTTTATGTCTAATTGCATCCTCAAGTTCATCCCCCGTAGTGGAAGTCCCCGAAACAGTTCATACGCGTAGGACAGTGGATACAAAAGCGTTTAACCCTCAAGGGGTGAAACATTATTTTTCTTCCCCTCTCTTTGTCTCTGTTGCAAGTACAACGGCAGTAAATAACTCGTTGACTTTCCCGCTTCATACCCGTAAAAAGAGCCACACAGCTCACCTCGCAAAAAGCACGTGATGTGGCGTGTCCGCGGAGGGCAATACGGTCTCTACTTTTTTTTTTTTTTTTTTTTTTCGCCCATGTATACCATCACGTTATAGCAACGCGAGTGCACGCGTGTGTATATTTTTTTTACTTCCCCACTCGAGCGAAGAGAGCCACACGCAACGCGTAACTGTTATACGACTCCACAACTAGATGACAGGTGTTGGGAAAAATGCTTGTCATGCCTCGTAAAGCTCACTACACGTACATATACGTATTAATAAACATTAAAACACTCGGCGCGAGGTTAGCCGCTATAGTGTGCTTTATTGTCGAAATGTTGCCCCACCATAAAGTATTCAATTTAATTCACACTTGAGCGTCGCTCGCGTGCGACTTCTCTGGCTTTGCTCTGTTTTTATTGAACTGCTGTGATAATATTTTTTTTGTCACCGCGTACTTCCTTTTTTTTTTTTTTTTTCTTTGCCTCTCCACCGCGCGCTAAACGGCCGGTAATTATAACGATACGCGTCTCCAACGAGGATTGGACGTGTCTCTTTTTTGCTCGGCTGTAGGTATAACGTATACTCGACACGAATCGCTTGGAACGAAAATAAATTTTAGAATGTTCGGATGTGCCGAGTGGTTTTGTAGATTTGTAATGTATAATTTAAATGTTTTGAAGAGAAAAAAAAATGTAGCTCGCTCATTACGCAGCGTCGTTAAACTAGAAAAGAAAAACTACTAAAAAGGTGGTTTCTACTCTTTTGTATTTACATTTAGGAAGTTGAAAGTGTTCAGTTGTCAACCGTTTCTCGCTACCAAGTGCGTAAAGTTTATTTTAAGAGCGTACATAAATTGTGAATTAAAAAAAAAAAAGCAAGTGCGCCCAACGAAAGGACCGAATCCTCCGAAAGGCAATGAGGCGAGGAAAAAAAAAAAAGATAAGATGTAAAGCCTCGGGGTAGTGAGCGCAAAACATCCGGCTTTCGGTGTGAGCCAGCGACGCGCTCACAAAGCAAAATATGAGCACTCGAGAGCGCGACCCCTCTCGTCGCGATGGCCCCGAACAAAAAAAACAACGAAAAACATAAAGAAAGCCCGAGTCCTAATTCACACGCGGGTATCGCGCCTTCGCTATAAATAAAACCAACAGCGCCGAAAAAGGAAGACCCTCTTTGAAACTCCGCTGGCGCTTCTAATCCGAGACAAAAGATTAGGGCAGAGGAACAAAAAATTCAATCCGACTGTGATGTATGCGCGCATGGGGTCCATGAGACACACTCGCGATGACTCGAAATGGAGGCTTCATCGGTACTTTTTTCGAGTGCGCCTAGAGAAGTCGGGGCGTGAGCGCATGGCTGTACACGAACAAAAGTTTTTAGCATCATTGTGACAGCTACGGCCATTGTGCGCGTGTCTGGAGTGGGTTTCACGCGTTGCGTAATTTCAGGACAGTCGAGCGCTCGTTTGAGAGAGCTCGCCCGCAGCTGTACGATGTTGTGACAGGAGAGATCATTTGATTGCTTTTTCGGTATCGGTCTGTGCCGACAGATAAAGAGGTTTGATCAGATAGATAGCAAGTTTAACACCAACTTTTTTGTACTTCAAATATTATTCGAGTACATTCATTCATCATCAGGTACTAATAATAATACGTATGATTGCAAGCAAAATTTGTATTGTCAGTTCTGTATTGTTCGCTTTGGCAGGAAGTGATGGAAAAATGTGTCCAATGATGTTTTTGATAAGATTCTACATCGGAAAGAAAAATTCGGATTTACCATTAAAAGTATCGAATGAATCAACTACAAGTTTCGTACAAGTATTCATACGAATTTTGTTTCTCCTTAAAATCTCTTTTTTCCGTTTGTAAACCTGATCAACTTCCTCAGTGGTACAAAAGGACATTATTATTGTTTTACAATCAATCTTTTTATTTTGATTGATCATTGGGAATAACTCGGCATTGCCTCACTAAACACAATAAATAATTATATAATCACATTGCGTTAGAATTGAAGCCCCAACCAAAGTTTATGTTAAGAATTAATCCACACTATTCGTGGATCACACCCAAAAGAACAAACGCCACGAAAATCACATAATCGTAATCGCTGGCTGTAAAAAAATTCTGGAGCTGTTTAAAAGTTCCAACAAACAAATGGGCGCCCGTGTATCACGCACTTACTTAAGAAGACCGGAGGAAGAAAAGCCATAACTCACTCTTCCCTCGACATTTGGCGCTTCGCCCGCGAAAGTACAAAGAGTCAAGCAAGCAGATCACGCGCACTCAGCGCTACGTCCACCCACTCGCAACCCCGTCCAACCGACAGGAGCCGTCAACTCATTAGACGCGGGCGTGCCTTCGACAATACTCATGTTTGTAGCAGCGTTTCGTGGCGCGTCGTCACCTCTTCAAATCCGCATCTCTACCCTTTTTTTCCCCCGAATAGCGTTTTTTTCTGACGCTCCACGCAAGCTCTCAGAGTCGCGGCAGCGCGTTTAGGGGCGCACGAAAATAGATGCACCGCTGTGGCTCGGGACAGGCAGCGTGTCGATGAAATGTCGCTTCGAGAGGAAAGAGTTGACGACGGGCGGGCCTCAAAATGATTTCAAGCGCGGGAGTTCGTCAACGTTTCGGGGCTACTTTTTGTTGTTCTCGTGCCTTGGGACAGGCAGTTCTGACAGGTGAACTTTTCCTTGAATTATTTTCGGCGCCGAGAAAACATGGGGAAACAGCGTTGATTGAGCACGTGGGAAATTGATGGACGGACTGGAAACTATCGGTTCGTTTGGTGCTGGCTTGACGGACGATTTTTCTACCCTCAAACGTCTCTGTTCTTGATTAAAAAGCCCCAACATTCGTACGTGAGTGTATGTTTTGCTGGACAGTAAAGTCTTTTGAAGGATTTTCTCGAAAAAATACATGGACCGTTACGAAACTAGTTAGTTTAAAAAAAATGTTTTTCCAACAATTGTTACCACAAGTAAGTATAATGTCATTTCAG